TTAGATTTTCAGTACAAATCGGCAATTTCATACTTTAACCCCTATTACAAGTAAAATACATGTAAAGAAATGTTTATATTATAATAAACTTAAAAAATAAAAATATATTTAATATTGTAACACGATGTACAAGAAATATTAATAACCTCGCCTTGCCACTAGATGGCGTTGGGATCAAAATAGAGTGCGCTATCGAAATGTTTACTAAATTACCATTTTAGTTGTAAAATATAATTGCATTGTATCGAATCATAGGGTCTATGAGTGGCACTCCAGTACTTCCACCGGGTGGAGTGCTTGGATGAAAGCTCATATGTACATATAATCGTCGGTCCCCATTATCGATCGCCGGCTGCCGCTTGCACCGGGTAGGACGGTGAGCTGACATCGATGATTCTGCCGTAGTCGTCTCAGAACTCGCGTCAGCGGGTTAAACGGGATAAACGATTACCTATATAATGTTTTAATTAAGATTTGACCATGTTATTCAATTGAATATTATTGGAAAAAGTGGTGAGATATCAAGTTGAAATCTTCAAATATGAATGCGTAAGGAATTCCATTAATTGAATGGTTGTTTAAAAATTATAACCTAACTGGTTTGTTTACTTTTCATGAAAAATGTATTGACACTAGCTATATCTACTTTAAGTAATAAAATTAAAATTAATTTTTGACGTTTTGTCAATATCGATACAATTGTGAGTTTTAAAAATGCAGTAGTTACTGATATAGGCTGTAAGTATATTAAATATGTTTACTAATAATAATTTAGAAGAATATAATATTAAATATTAAATACGTTTATTATAATATTAAATACGTTTTTACAATAAGATTCCGGAACATATATTAAGTTTATCATTTCCTAAATTTAAAAACTACATTAAAAATATTTTGATCGAAAAATCATATTACAAAATTGAAGACTACGTGTTAGATGTATGGAAAGACGACATGGCTCCAGAATCCAAACAAGTTTGATTCAAAGTGTAATCCATAGCATTTAAGTTTATTTGAAAAGAGCAATCCCTAGAGTTTCTTGCTCGTTCTTCTCAGGGAGGTCAGCGTAGTGAACGAGCAGTAGCTTAAATGTGACGTTTTCAAGTGTAAATTTATTTTACCTATGGAATAAATTATCTTTGACTTCGACTTTAAAATATTTGTTGAATTACTCAAAAAGATAAAAGTCATTTCATTCATCTAATGTTTGAAGAAGGTGGTTCACTTTGAGAATCGTAACATTATTAGACATTCCTTACACTAATCCAGAGGTTAAAAACAAAAAAAAAAATATAATCATAGCTAAATAATATTTTATTTTTAATGTGACTCGAACCTTGCTTGCCTCCACTTGCAAAGCAATCCTTATACCGCTAGGCCACGACGGCCTTACTACAGGTGGTTGAAATTTGTTTTCTGTTTTTAAGTAAGAACAATATGTTAAAGATCAAATTGGCTTAAACACTTTCTTACAAAGTCGTTCACTAATGAAACGACCAGAGAGTCATACCAAAATAAATTTTACGACTCACAGGTTAAAGATTAAGTTTGTTAAACAATTTTCTCCACATTTTTATGCTTAGAACCAAAAGGTCGACAAAGTCGGCTTGGGGGGTCAGGTCAGGTATCTTGTGTTAATGACTGTACACCCGTTACAGTATTAAAATAAACAAAAAAGAACCTTAATTATTATGCATCCGTCACAAAACTGTACAATTAATCTTAGTACGTAGCTGCGACGCTTGAACTAAGTAAAAGAGTACCTGTATTTTAAGTATCTTGTTTATGCATACTTTCATATTAGTGCTGGAAAACATATAAGCTGTATTTGTTTAATAATAAAACAATTAGTTGATATAATAAAATTTCGTGGTTTCTTGCAGGAAGGGAGTGCAGTGGCGTTTGTCTTATAACGTCACGTTAAACTGTCCGAAAAACAAATGCGTAGATAATGTAAACCCTCCAACAAAAACGAAGAAATGTAAGGAACGTTCGTAACGTTATCTACAATGATTATGTCCATCATGCTATGTTCTGTCGGTTCAACACAGCAAAATTCATCGAAAAGTTTCACAATAAAGGGTATGTTTTATGACTTCACTCTTACTTACTCGATTGCTCAACCACCCGAAATATGTCTTGACCTCTGTAACGAAATCACGCCACTTCCTTCGGTTCTATGCTCTCTACCGCCAATCGTTAGCTTGTACTTTTCGTAGATTCTTTTTCGCTCCAGCGATATCTGGGCAGACCAACTCGTCTGGTCATGTTTTATTTATAAAAATATATAGGTATAATCTCAAAAAATAGAATTTTCTCGTGCCGACTTTAGCATCTCGTTTCATTTATATTTTATATGTCTTGAAAAAAATTGAGTAGCCTTAGTTATTTGATTTTTACAAGATTGTGCTCATAAAAACGAAGCTTGCTTTTAAGTGTTATTGTCATTTTTAATTTTTTATTATATGAATAGACGGGGTGAGCGACACGCGCCCATAACAAGGTCAGTGCCGTTCCAGTTTTAAATCTCAAATATCTGAGGGGTATTTCCACTGCACTCGTCACACTAAGACATACCTAAGGGCCGAAACACAATACCCTAAACACGAAATCTACGAGCTCTTACGACGCATCGCGAGAATTTATGAATTGCTCCGCATCGCGCATTCCTGCGATGTTAATCTTCTTTGTGTTTTTTTTCCTATATTTGCTTATTAATAACAGCAGTGCAACACTTTTTTTAGAATCCCTATCGCTACGTAGTTTAAAAAATATGTTCATGGCATTCACGCATGGCGCCGATTCGCAGTTTTGTGTTTCGACTCTAAAGGTGACAAATTTCATGTGCTTATAGTTACATCAGCACCCTTATCTTCCAAAATCGGAACGCAGTAATTAGTAAGTTACTTGTAAGTAAGTAAGTAAGTCACTTAGCGGTAAACACAAACGAACAGCCAGTAAAAACGAGCAGCTATTCCATATAAATGTTCCTCATTTACATAACTAAAAAGTCGTGGCCTTAATATCGGATTCGATAGTGTTCATATAGTTAACAACAGTTTTGCATAGAATTATCAATAGTTTGGTCAACAGAAGTAAACAACAAAATTGCTGGTAGTTATTTGCTTTGCCCACAAGTATTTTACTTCTTCTGACAATTTTCTTAAATTTCCAAACATATCTGTTAAAAGGCGAAGAAGACGTGGAAAATGGCATAGCATAAAGTCACAGTTATACCAAGGATATTCACGATTGAAAATATAATTTTATTATTTGGGCACACTCATGTCTTTACTCATTACATTATTCTAGCCAGTTCCGACGAAGTATTGATTCCTGTTTGACTTCGGAAACTTTGCTCAAATTGCTATACAGCTTTTCAACATAGTTTTTAAAACATATTTTTATATACACGGGAACATTTAGTCGAACACTGGTAAAAATCCGAAAATAATACAATCTTTTTGTCTAATTAAAGAACGGTTTTTAATTTTATTATTTTTAATTTGAAAATTTAAAAAAATTCACAATTTTTTTAATTTCCCACTAATACAGCTATGTCGAATAGTGTTCGGCTAAATGTGCCTGTAATTTTTGTACTTTTTGTTATTTGTTATAGTCGGTTTGTTTATAATAAACTTTGTATTATTTTTATGAATTTATTGTTTGTTGTGATTTTTTTACGTTTAATGTATTATAATAATAAAATAATAAGCTTTACAAAATTAAATCGTGTAATAATTTACAATGGCCAACTTCCTTCGTAGCTTGGTTCATACTATGGCGCATTTGTTGTTCCTTTTATCATTGATCCCAGAGCTTTGTGAGATCAATTTTACTAATAATTTTGTGACTCAGCGCTCCTCTATTAGGTTGCTTTTTATTTGATGCTTGAACGAACGGAATAAAGTTTTATTAAGTAAATCCGTAGCAAGCGGCTTTGCGAATAAAGTTTTAAATTTATGTCAATAATTTCAAAGCTTTTGATTCCTATTTCAAGAGCTCTGAAAAAAAAAACGTTACGTCTGAAACGTAGAAACCGCTAAATTGGTTTACTTTAGCTACTTTCACAGTTTAATTAACCGGCTTCAAAAAAGGAGGAAGTACTCAATTCGACTGTTTTTTTTTATGTATGTTACGCGATAACTCCAGTATTTGTGAACCAATTTTCATGATTTTTTTTGTTGGTAAAAGGGTACCTCCACAATGGTGCTATTTAATTTTGAAGAAAATCATCCATATTTTCATTTTTATAAATAGTGCCTAAATTTTAGTACAATGAGCAATTATTGTAACCCTTATATGCCCAAAGGGTCATTAATGACCCACTTATTCTCGGATGACCAAATCGTTGTTTGTAGAAAAATGAAGGTAGTTAGCGACATTGACATCACGTAGAAGATACGTTATAAATATACCTTAGTTTTTATCTACCGCCGCGTGAATTATTTTTCTGCGGTAAGTTATTTTGATGACTTTAAAAGTTGCTAAATTCTGATTGTGACTGCCGGTTCCAGAATTAGAAATGTAAGTATTTATTATTTGTTTATGTTAAGGTCTTAATATTTTGGCAGATTCCCATCGATTCATAATTGTATTATGTATTTAAATTATTTGAATCCTATAAACTATACACACTATTTTTTTTTTACTTATTTTCTAAATAACTGAAATGGGTCGTTAACGACCTTTTGAGCAAATGTCTGACCTATTGATATTTTGTTGCAGGAGTAGACCTGCGCCTACTACCTTCGAAATTCTGGAGGAACTAAACAGATTTGCTGACGAGGATATTTGGATATTTATGTTGACCCACCAAATGATGGCCAAAATTCTGATTGTGACTCATGAGCCGAAGACTGTAATGATCCAGATCGACTGAATCGAGCTCAACTTCAGGCACCGACAAAGTTAGTCATCAATAAAGGCCAATACTTTCAGGAAAGTGAAAAGGAAGCTCTCTTCCTGAAGATGAGATTTCTCGGCCAAGTGGTACATGCCGATTCTATTATAGCCGATGGATGTAGCCGTCAATAATGCCAGCCTTCTAGCTAAGTCTTACGGTGCTTCTGTAGACACTTTGGAATTTAGACTATCTATAAACAGGACATTTCTAATGATTTATGGAATGCCGAGAGTGATGCCAGATCCTTCAAATCCTTTTACACCAATACAGATTATTTCTTCTATCCGTACTTATTCAGCTGATGACATGATCCTGATGAAACAAAAAAGAAAACGTTGTGCTGTATGCAAAAGTAAAACTACAAAATGGTGTAAAAAATGTGGCATTGGATTACACGACAAATGTTTTGTTCTATTCCATCAAAAGTAGCAATAGTTGGAATTTACAATAAAGCT